GCCTGTTATAGGCCCCCGTCCAAAAGCGTCAGGCAATTTTTTCAGGAACTCTCGGAGATCCTAGCCGCGAGTTACAGTCAGGGGTTACTTTTCATCGTAGGGGATATCAACATAGATTTGCTGAAAGATGACAAGTCTGAGGTTTGTGACTACCTTAATACACTTGCTAGTGCGGGTATCGAAAGTACTATTAGTTCACCAACGAGGGAGGAATTTATGGCTGGAAGGCTGGTATCTTCGTGTATTGACCATATTCTGGTTAGGACTCTAGACACAACGGTGAGGTCGGCAGTAATTCTGCAAAATCTGGCTGACCACTTTTTTGTTGGATGCCAAATGGTTTGGCAGCGCACGTTGGGATGTACCAACATCAGTCAACAAACTTTAGAAATTTTCGATAGACAAATTATGAACTCACTGGCGCCGTCTTATGATTGGAGCTCGTTTCTCAAAACAGTGTCGTATTCTGATGTTTACCAAAAATTTGTTGCTCTCCACGACTCTTTCAAGTCAAAGGCACGGCGAAACGTTGTAGTGAAAAACGTAAGCCAGATTGCGTTTGCTTAAGCGCAGATATTTTGTCTGCAATCGCGGAGAAAGATAGGCTATGGGCGCGTTGTAGGCGATCACCTGCAAATGTTCAACTGCGTGGAGTCTTTCGTGCAACCAGAAACAAGGTTAATGCCCTTGTTCGCTCTGCTAAAAGGATCTACTTCCAAAAAGAATTTTTGAAAAATCGTTTGAATATCGCGAGAACCTGGTCCCTTGCAAACGGTCTTCGAGGGTGCCACCGCCAGCGCTCCCTTGATGACGTCATAGTTAAGAACTTTGGTGCAGATACTAAGGGGACGGTGGAAAAATTCAACACCTTTTTTGCTGCGTCATCCGAGCAAACACTCAGTGGGAGCATGCAGGAATTAAGCTTGAAGGGTGCGAATTGTGCGTCCGCTTTTCTCTATGAGATTGATGAAGAGGGTTTGCGTTCTGCCGTGTTCAGTATTAAGTGGACCAGATCACCAGGCGCTGACGGAATTACAGTTGGTTTTCTACAAAGGAACTTTGATTCGTTAAAACATGTCCTGCTTTATATGCTCAACGGTTTTATTCAAACAGGTTCGATTCCCGAAGCGTTGAAAGTTGCTATTGTTAGACCGATTTTCAAGGGGGGTCAATCAAAAGCAATAGAAAACTACCGCCCCATATCCATTCTGCCTGTTCTAGAACTCTTGTTGGAAAAGCATCTCTTTGTGGTGATGAATAGTTTTCTGGACCGCCACCACATAATGTCAGCCTCGCAGTACGGTTTCGTGCCTGGAAAGGGCACGCAATTGTTACTAGATGACGTCGCCGATTTTTTTAACTCCGCATTTGATGACAATATGTTTTCATGTGCGGTGTTCCTAGACGTTCCAAAAGCCTTCGACACCGTCAACCATGATATCTTGCTGCGTAAATTGTTTTAAGATCGGGTTTCGTGGGCATTTTTTTGCAATTCTGGCAAATTACTTATCAAATCGATCACAACAAGTTCGAGTGGGCAATGAAACGAGCTCCGTTTATTATCTACGAGCGGGGGTTCCTCAAGGCTCTGTGTTATCCCCGCTGCTGTTTAATATTTATGTCAACGACCTTATCTCTGTCATTTCGGGTTGTACATGTTATCAATATGCCGACGACACTCTGCTGATTTCCAGACATGTGAATTTCGACAGTGCATGTAATAATTTGCAAACTAATGCCAGTAGAGTGGTGGACTGGTACGCCTCCAATCTTTTAAAAGTCAATCCAGTAAAAACTCAGTTAATCATAGATAAGCCTTTCTACTTACGCGGGGTCGACGGCGTATCTGGCAGTAGTGTTCCTGTTCGATGAGTAGGCAGCACGAAGTACATGGGTATTATTTTTGAAAGCGACATGTCCTGGAACAAGCAGTTAGCCTACATATGTCGTGTCTTACGGAACGTAGCTTGTTTCTTATACAATATTAGAGTTTTTGTTCCTTTCCACGTTAGGAAAATCCTCGTCCATGCCCTGGCGTACAGTGTGGTAAGGAACGGTGTGACAGTGTTCGCGCACAGTGCAGGACTCTGGCACGAGAAGGTAAACAGTGTTTTGAAGTGTCTTTTAAAAAATGTGGCGTACAATTCAAGGTATTCAAACAGCACGAATCTCTTCGCCGATCTAGAGATGCCAATTTTTTTTTTTCCGTACCAACAAACAGTAGTTCTTCGGTATTTTTGGACAGCTACAAGATCCCACATGTGTCGTCTCGTATTCTTAGACAGTCGATCAGATTTGAGAAACCTCGCTGTTTTACGAGATACGGAATGAAAACGCGAGACTACTACGTTCCCGATACCTTCAATCGGCTACCCGATTGTGTATTTTCCTTAGATTCCAAGACGAAAGTTAAAAAATGGCTCCGCGCATATATGTCGGACGCAGTGTAAACGGTCTTAAATTTACGTTTTCTTTTTTACTTTTTTGTTTGTTTGTTGTTGTTTTTTGGGGGGGATTACCAGGCAGGCTTTGAATCAGCCTTTAGTGCAGCTGAGTTGAGCTGGCGTGTGTGTGTCTGTATAGTACCTTTTGTTGATTATATTTCCAGCTCTTTTGTGTTCGCTCGCACTTGGTGACTTGCAGGGCCCCGTCGCACAAGCCATCATAGGCTTTGACGGGCCCGTAAAAACATTTGTACCTCAGCGTTGACAATAAAATTATTATTATTATTATTATTCAAAATCGA